ATCCAGGGTGAACAGATTCATCCGCTGAAGTCTCCGGGGATAAGGCAAGTCCCGTAACTCCAAGATGTATTTCGATGCACGCCGTTGAACCTTCTCAATTAGGTCACATTCGAACTTGGTGAGAGGGAAGAGGGCAGGTAATCCGTATTCGAGAATGGGGCGGACATGGGAAATAAACAATAGTCGGAAGATATCCGGAGTCAAACGCGAGAAGGCTCGTCGTATGGCGTGGGACATCCTGTTGGCAGCAGCAACCCTTCGTAACGTGTCCTGTGTAGTCCGTAGATCAGATGACACCAACACGCCGAGGTCTTTTTCTAGGATTGAGGTTCTGAGCAACGTCCCACCGATGTGATACGTCCCGAAAGGCTCAGAAGCACCAATGGGAAAGACCGAGCACTTATCGCGATTTATGGGCAATCGCCATTTGACTGACCACTCATGTAACGTGTCAAGTGTAGCCTGTAATCGGTCCGCCTCGTCAAGACAGGATACCTCCATCCACAATTTCAAGTCATCAGCGTAAATCAAGCAATCCAACTGAAGTTCCGCCGGAAGGTCATTGATGAAGATCTTGAAAAGTTCTGGGCCCAGGACCGATCCCTGTGGGACACCGCTAGTCATGAGCACGGGAGCGGAGTAAGTCTCGTTCACGTCGACTCGCATTGTCCGGTTATACAAGAAATCAGCGATCCAAGAGAGAACGTTCCCAGAAACACCGATTAATCGTAGTTTGTATGTTTGGGTTAAATTTACCTATAGATTCTTGGTCTCCTTCCATCACAAACATCCAGTAGCAAGGATATTGCTTCAAACTTACTTATTTATAGCGCTCAGCAAAATTAGGTGTCTATGACAGCCCGGAGAATCTTCGAGATCTAATCAAGAAGGTCGAAAGCCTTACCATTGCTTTATGTTAGATGAATGAAACTGAAAGTGTGAATCAGGCTTTCTTTTCTTTTGTTCGCCAAACATTACTATTCATGGGTGCACAAAACACATTCCGGACCTGACTAGTGCTGGGCAATCATGCCTTGTCGGATGCTCTGATTACTCAGGGAACATATGAACCAGCGGAGTTCAAGTGCATGTAAAGGTGTACACTGTCGATATTGAATTACTCATTGTTTGCAAATCTACCTCCGCACAAAAGTCCTTGCGCTTCGTGCAAGTACAGTGACTTGGGGATACTAAATTTAATTGTCGTTTTTTATTATTAAGGATGATAACCCCAGAGAATTATGTAGTAACCATGCTAATACTCGCTTCAAGTGAAATGATAGCATAACGCAGAGGAGGAATGAACCGCACCATTCTCTCTACACAGCATCAATACCATCTATGGACTTGATTAGGAACTAAAAGCTGCGATCACTTGCGAAGAATGGTGACAGTTTAATGCAGTGAATGTATTGCAGAACTAGGTGGCTTCAACTGTGTCTCACTTCGAAGTGCCGAGGTAAATATCCTGTCTGATTCAAGCCTATTTGAATTCATAAAATCTCTACCAAAAAGAACAGAGTGCGTTAACTGGTAATATTTGGGTCAACAATTGGGTCACATAGTGTACCGGAAGTCCACATGAGTCATCCATTGCGGGAGCACCATAAAACCCACGCGGTTGGACTTATTCCATTCAGCCCACTGAAGTTGGGTTGGCTGGAAACGTTAGTACATTATCGGATCTGTAAAACTTCACCATAAATTTGCGAAAAAGCGTGGTGATCGCAACTAGTTCTATGCTTGTGTTTAGCCTAGGTCTATCATGAAGACTCCTACGTTTGACTCTAGTTCTAAGGGGACTAACTGATACTCGGTTTGACTAGTGATAACTGTCTCAGAGAATTCATTGCTTGTGTTTGAGGTACAGAGCCAAATAGCTTTGTGCTCTACAATGAACCAAGATATGCCAATCCCTGGTGTAGGAAACAGACATACTTCCTCTGTTTCACGCACCCAATACCTTACTCTTTTATGAATTTTATGTTTCTTCGAATATTTTAGGTATCGCTAGCCCGGTGGAAATTGAAACTGGGATGCACCACCTTCGGGTGATCCAGTCTGCTGACAACGTTTGCAACAGCGGTCACCAACTCAATTAGTCAGTGACAAGCTGTATTAATCTTCGTGTTCGTGTTGCAAATTGCATCCCCAAATGAAACCATGGGCTGGAAGTAAATGGATATAGTTGTCTCCAACTGATCTGGCGACGCTGGACGTTGCTGCAATCCTTGATCATTTTCGTCTTTCCTTAGATTTCCCCTACATATTAGTAAAATGCTAGTGCAATTTCGGAATTATTATTTTACGCGAACTGGCTTTTTCAAAAAAATGTACAACAGCACCGACACGATGGCGGGGAATTGATTGCTTTCCATTACTCGGTCACCAATAAAGCCATTATGTTTAAGCGTGAAATGATAGGTTACTTACCGAAAGTCACAGGGGTTCATTCATACTACAGCTTTGTAAGGCTGTGTAGGGTTTGCGTAGCTTGCAATTCATTATCGGTGTCGTATGCACACGGATTACTGATGCGCCAACGTTGAAGAACCCAATTTCGCTTATCGTTTACTTCGACGTCATGCCGTAGGGAACCACATCGTCAAAATTTGTAAGTCTACACGTAAATACTTTTGATCAGCAGTGCAGTTGGTTTTTTTACGAGCAAATGGTTACACAAAAGTAATGCTTCGATTTTACGGTCTTTTGATGAAAAATAGCAAACTAGATATCCTTACTGTGTCAGTGAAACTTACCTACCCATAGTTATTAAATAAATAAATAAATTGTATATTCCTCGACTATGCGAAAAGCTGTTCTCTATAAGGAACAGATCAAATAATGGTACAACTTTTCCATGACATTTCATCAATACATTTTCAGAGATAAACATGGATGCAATTGCAAATTATGTTACACAGAGTAATCAGAATCGTTCTACTATTTTTGCCTGCCACTGAATCAGGATTCTTTACAATCACATGATAGATGTTTGGGCCGAGAGAAAAAAAATGTAATGAAAGGGGTTGTTGTCCGAAATGATATGTGTATGTGCTTCAGAAATTTATTCAGGCACCATGGATACCGTTTTCGAATGCGTTATCTAGGGACTGTGATGTCCCGAACATCTTAATCACGTTTTGGACGGTTAAATGCTTACTAATAGCAAGCTTAAAATTGCAAAGCGTATAGCATGTTCTGATATCACTTGGAAGTTTGTTCCAAATCTTTGAGTATTGGGTTAGAAAGAAACGTTCTCTGATTCTCGTAGAAAATTTTGGAATCATGACCTTTACCTCTTTGTTACGTATTGGGTATCTGTTGTTTACAGATATGTGAACACCGCTTTCAGGACTGCGAATTTGACAATTTATGATTCTGTAAAGAAAACATAGGTTCAGCTTCATTATCCGAAGCCAAACTGGGTCAAATCCAAGTTTATCGCATCGCTCCTTGGATGTCAACTTTGAGGAATATCCACATAGCTTTTTCGTGAAACGTCTCTGGACCCTCTCAAGAGCGTGCTGGTCAGACTTCCGTAGATTAGACTGTATCATTGAACAGTATTCCATACACGGCAATACATATGTTTTGTAAAGGGATATGCGAGATTCCGTGAGGTAAAAATGATGGCAGATATAACCAATGGTCTTCATGGCTTTCGAAACTTGGAAGTCACAGTGTTCTGAAAAGTTAAACGTAACTGAATATCGCACGCCCAAGTCGCGAATTGTCCTGCATTGCGAGATATAGGCACCTTGTAGCAATAAACTGTCTGGCGGTACTTGGCATTTGTACGACAAAATGTTACACTTGTCCACGGCAAATGACATCTGCTGTATACTACCGAACATAAGTCGATAATTTGAACATATTTTTCAATTCTATAGAAGGGGGTCAGCTTGTAAAAAGCCTACACGCAATTTGCAAAACCCTATGCGAATTCCACCCAGGAATTCACTGCACACCTCTGGCTTGGGAAGATCCCACAAAATGAAGGCGCACTCCCTCCAAACTAAATCATATGACGCCGCGTTAGCGTCATCTTGAGCGGCGAATCAAAGGGCTTATACCTTAAGGTCACCCCAACTGACCAATAGTACAGTAGGTTTCGCTTGAGCACACTCAACTGAGAGCAGGTGGTGATGACGTCAAAATCGTGGGGAGACAATTTCGTTTCTCTTTTGGTTGATTTTTTGTGGGTTGGTTAATATAAGGACTTACGACTTTTGACAAATTTGATAGTGCAAAGTTATACTGTCATATATTCGGTAATATACAGTATTCAATCATGGCATCGTGTTATCGAAAGTTGACTTGTGCGTGTACGGGGTAAATGGATGCAAATTTTACGTACCCAAACTAATTCCTTGATAGCAAATCGTACATTTGCCAACACCTCCAGTCAGAGCCACTCAAGTACCTTCTACTATCGGCAGGTGCATATATCATGGAGTTTGGCACCGCGGAAACAGTCACATGGGCAAAACACATAGGGGCTTGGGTACTTAAATTGGGGTGTATTTTCCAGTGGAAAGTATCTCTAACGATACTGACATCGGTCACAGTGGCTATCAAATGCCCATTCTAGGCAGTTAAATGGGAGATTTCCCAATCGATATTCGTTGCTGTGGGTTACAGTAAGAGCAACATACCTTTTGGCTTGCTCAGATTTCAACCAACAAACTTGGACGACCTACTCTTTGGATACAAACGCCAAGTAATCAGAATCACCCATGCTTCGTAAATTATCATCCAATTTGTGGGTCCCGTGAGAGTTTGCGCTTGTACTTGTTTTTCGCTTTTTACAGACAGGCTGATGCAAAACTGACAATAATCTGTTTGATATCGAATTGAAACAATGGGACTCTTGTTGTTTTATCCAATAACATCTCGGAAGCTCAATACTTAAATCCGCACAACAGTCTAGCAAATGAGTAAACTAGCATTTACCTACTCAGAACTTGCAAACCGACAAGTCTTGTTGAGTTACTTACTTGGAAGCTGTATATCATCCATAGCGAGAAGTTGAGCGCGGATAGCACAATGAGAATCGTGCTTCCGGGTTTCGTGCGCAAGTATGATTCGTGAGGGCAGCATCGGTAGAACATGTCATGAATAAAGTAACTCTGCGCGATCACCTGGATTAGCTCCAACACGGTGCTGGCCAGTTGTGCGGTCATATAGGTGACCTGTTTCGGGTCCGTATCACGGAGAGCTAAGTATGCAATACACAGGGTAGCGGCAACTACCAGAAAGTTGACCGTAATGAAGAAGGTCAGCAACAGCAACTTCCCATCCAGGCTATTTTTTGCGTAATTTACCGAAAATTTAAGCCTTTTCATTATAATGATTCCAACAATGGTGAGAATCAAGGAGAGTGTGTGGACAAAACCCATTTCGAAGAGGTGAATCAGTCCTCGAAATTGGTCGATCGCTGTTCCGACATTTTCCAATACCAGTATTATGGCGAGGATGACTGCAGGTAGAGTTATTCCAATGAAGATCCCGAACTGATACTTTGTGTGCTGACGTTTTGAAGTACTCTGGAAAGGTAAAAATGTTGCACAGATTTGTGAGCGACTTTGGAAGTTCAACGGATGTCATATTTCTTCCTCGACTGCGAATGGATGACAGGAGAAAATGAACTCTATCTACAATCCTAAGTAGTTTACAGGCCATTCCCAGTTAAAATGGCTTTGCATCCGGGAATGGTAGCCAATTATCAAAAGTGCAACGAAAGTTGATCGCTGCGGTGAACTCTAGCGTGCACACAAGCGAAGTCGCAGCTTCTCTAAGCGAACAATTCAAGGCTGACTTGCAAGAGGTAATCGCCTATGTACCGCTACACTACCATATTACTGCTCCCATTCGATTCAGAACGGTTGAATCACCATATGTTTTAGACCTTGTGCTCACTAACGAAGAACAAATGGACGACACTGTAGCCTTAAACTCAGCACTCGGCCTTAGTGATCATGCGACGCTTCTCTTTCGCTACATCTGCTATGCAAAATACACAGGCGGGAACAAAGTGAAAGCCAATGTCATCAATCATTACGACCACCTTCAAAAAACCAACTGGTCCTTTCTGACCGAGTAGCCGCCCGATGTCTCCTGAAGGGCTTATCACCCGGTTGACTGGGCTAATAGCAAATGTGTCGGAAACCAGTCTTTCACCCAAAGTAGATGTCCTTCCTGAGCAGCCGGGACCGAATATGCGTGACCTAACTCGGTGTGCCTATAAAGCCTGTCCAAGTGTGTAAGTCAGGGGTGCCTATAAAACTTGACAAAACCACAACTTCAAGTTGATCCGTGAAAACAAACCCCAGCACTAACAAGACTTAGCGATGTAATCCAGTACAAATCCTAAAATTCTGTAAAGGACGTCAACATTAGCCGCAGATTGCTAAAAAGAATCTCAGTTCTACACGTAACAGATGGTCCCGCGCTATCAACGCAAGAGGCGGCAAACACGCTTCAGCGACACTTCATCCGCACTTTCCAGAGTAACTCGTCATCTCACCCTCTTTTGACACAGCTCCCTCTGCCCCAGATTAAGTCAGTTATCCCGCACAGCAGCGAAAGTGATAAAAAGACTATTGTCCTTGCGTATGCACAGCTCTGCTGGAGTGGAGGACATGATCGTAGGTATTGAAGACAGCCGAATATCGCCGAAAATTTAGCTCGGTTGTTTCAACAATGCGTTGAGAAAATGCAGGTTCCAACTAGATGGAAACATGGAATATTCACCCCCTATCTACAAGAGTGGCAATTTTGCGGATCCCACGAACTACTGTCTAATAATTTTACTCCCGGTGCCAAGGTATTATCGCAGGGACGTTCATACGATACTTTGCGAATACCAACATCACATTTTCACAGCAACGCTGATTCCGACAATGTCGGTCCTGCAGCATAAATGTCCTGTTAGTCAGAGCAAGCTGGACTGAATCAGTCGATGTCAGAGTGGGAGTCGACGTAGTACACCTGGACTTCGCTAAAAAGTTCGACCGATGGACCATCACATGTCCTTAACATGTTGTGAGGCCATGGAATCTGTGACCTTGTCTTGGTTTAGATAAGCAACTTCCTCACTCAACCTCAGTTGGATGTGAGAGTCCACAGCTCCATTTCCGGCTCGACTGAAGTCCAGTGTAGTGTACCTCAATGATGGGTACTGGGAACACGCTTATTCCTAACATTCATCAACTATCTTGCTAGTGTACTCCAATGGAACTTCCTGCTATTTGCAGATGATGTCTAGATCTGGTATGACACCAAGGCAGTGAACAATTACACGGCATTGCAGATGTATCATGGCAGTGAACGATTACACGGCATTACACATGGATTTTGGCAGGGACATTACGTGGTCATCCAAAAACCGACTCCACTTCTACCTGGTGAAATGAAAGTTCTGGGCATAAGCCATCAGTGTACTTGTACTTATCTACTGGGTGAACACCAGTTGTAACGCTCTAGGCAGGAAATCGACCTCGCGATAATTGTGCAAGTTTACATAGACTGTTCGAGAGAGTCCGAAAAGGCATCCATAAAAGCCAATCAGCACCATGGGCTCTTACGGAGAATTTTCGGAAGGTTCGAGCCATCAAGCTTTCAGCAAATGCTGAACGCCTACGTGAAGCCCCAGTTGGAGTACGCGATCCGAGTCTGGTGTCCCTGGCACAAGCACGATATTGATACGCATAAAACGCCAAGAAGTAGAGGTACGAAAATCATTGGGTGATTTTTTCACCTAATTCCCAAAGCAGACTGCATGCCCTAGACTTATACAATGGTGATTTGAGACCTTACCATAGTGTAACAAATACTGACAAATCCCAACCACCTTCACTAAACGTCATCCAATTTGCGTTGCGACAAAAGCTTGAGGTGTTTCCCACCTCTACTTAAGCTGTATATTCTTTAAGTAAATTTTTCTTGCCATTGTATTACGGCACAATAGTTAAAGTGGTTCTCAACTTCAGCTAACGTGTAGTGATGATGACGATGATGCTGATGGTGATGAAATAGTCCGTTTCACTCTGGGGACTGAATAACGCGAACCAAACAATGTGTTCAGCAACTGTTTTCTAAATTAGCGGTGGGGAAACCTGCAGCAGTGTTCATATGAGTAGCTTTGTGGGTCACTTAAAACCCGAAGTTGCCTTCTTTTCAGTTCTTTTACCCTTATTTTTTAATATTCACTTCGGCCATCCAACAAGACTTGTCAAGCGATCGGTTTTTTACTTGTTATAAATCGTTTTCATTGCGCTCCGGCTAGCTATATTCACCCTTCCCATTGGATCAGGATGGTTTAAACTTTGCAGCATTGTCCGCTGGACTATCACTTTGGATCAACGAGCGGTTGTCCAGAGCTGACCCCTGACCTGTGCAAGGCGGGTCAGTTCATTTGTGTCATCAAGGTCATAGTTCAACAAGACAGATGATGGAGAATCTTCATTGCCCCACATTAGATCAGTCCAAGTCAACTGAAGTGAAACTTTATGAACCCTAACGGGTCCATTTTCAGCATTTATACTACCGCCACTGGTATACTGTATGATAAAATCAATTTAATCTACAAAAGTGGGAGCAATTGGAAGCTATGTAAAAATTATCACACCAACAAGCGCTCGTACAACATGTTTATGACTCGTTAGGCCAGCAAGTAAACTTTATTGATAAAGCAAGATAAAATTATGATACGATAAATTGCAGGAGAATAAAATAGAATTTCGCGTGCTTCGAAGAGAAAGATCGTTTTCGTAAGGTCACTGTGCAGTGGATGAAATCGGTCATATAAAAACTAATAAGAAAATTCGTTGCAAGCATTAATATGTATTTGAAATGATCAAGACAACTAAAGAATCACTAGACAAGCCGCTGCAACTAGAAATGTGTTTTATCAATCGTACCAATGTGCTGTAGTCTTTCTGAAGCAGTCACAGGAAAGATGTAGGGAAGCAGTATAACTAAGGGGGGAATAATGCATGATGTCACAAACAAATATTTGACTAGGTGGTACTGAATGCACCATAAGTCTGAGGGCATAAAAAGAACGTGTTCGGACTTTATGAAGTTTCACAGACGCGTGGAACAAGATAGCTTCTGGGACAAAAAGAAACAAGAAACTTGACAACAGGTAGTCTGGGTATGGGACTTTCATTCAAAGTAGGGGTGTGCAAGATATTTATGACAGACTGCAGTTTATCGCCACGAAGAAAAGAAAAAATTACATCCCTGCATTTGGAGGCGCTTACAGTAAGGAATTTGGATGAAGGCCACCTCAAGAGTTCTTCTGATCCACGTTGAAGTGGTGAGAATTGCAGCACAGCATCCTCAGTAAAAATTTTCCCTATAAGCGTGCTTTGTATAGGGAGATATTCAACGTATAAGGAAAACAGAAAGAGTGATTTGATCGTTCTCTGCAGAACATCACAGTCGATACGGAGGACAGAGCATTTGTTACCGTTTAACCTCTTCAAGTGAATGAGCTCAGTACGATAAGCACTCGACAGATTACACACCCAGGGGTGAACTTCGTTCTCGAACAGCAGATTAAGCAACATTAACCTATCCCAGTTTCGAAACTCATTCGAATAATTAAGGAAGAGAAGCCGTACCGATTTACATTTTTGGTCTGATGTAGACGCCATGCAATGAACAAGGTATGCCACCGCATCCAATGTTGTGCGCTGTCACCTATATGCATCTCAGGTGGGAACTAACTTGTTTCAACCTATCGGTCACAGTATTCTTGCCCTTCATGCTTGTGTCAGTGTCGGTTGAAACCCGTGATCCTCTGAGTGGTGACTTGTTTGACCGTTTGAAGTAAAATAGAATCATCAGTTTCATCCGAAGTCCTCCAAAATCATTTAAAACTGTTCCACTCATCACGATTAACAGACTTGTTACAAATCAAATCGCTACACCCACAGAGAATAGTTTTGCAATTAAAGCACACGTCTGCTGCGTCAACTAAAAATATAATTCTGAATCACTGTCACACAGACCCTGGTTGTCAACGCGTTAAGTCTGAACCAATGAACCCCCATTCAATTTAATCCAGAATAGCCATGATCATGGGTGCCTACCTGCATTCGGTCATATATTTTTGCGCATTCTCAATGAGCTGACCATCTCGACCACTGTGTAGAACCGAAAATCGAGGCTAACAACCATCTCCTGAACACCAGCTAAAATGCATCACAATCATCTGAGCAGAGTGTCATCTGTCAGCAACAAATGAAAGAATCGGATAAGTGAGCTTTGAATTCGCTGCCAGTAAGATATGCAGAGCATCTCCGAAACGACTTGTGCGTCAGTGTTGGCACACGACTAGTTAGTTTGTTTCCGGAAATTCACCTTGATAAAAGTTCCGAGGATGGCTCTGCAAGGCGATCAGCCTTATAGTGGTGGCAGCAGTTTGATGCGACGTTTGACAAGCGTCCCAAAATTAATGGAGGAACCTTGTTAATGGGCGGGGTCGCGTAAGACGAGAAATACAGTGTCATCTGAAACAGCCAAATGCAAGTCCAGCTG